ATTCTGCTAGCTCATTTGCAAAGCAAAGCAGGGTCTGGCACGGTTTCAAATTGGATGGGGGAACCGTGTGTTGAGATTCCTGCATGGCAGGGGGTTGGACTAGATGACTCTCGGGGTTCCTTCCAACTCTACAATTCTATGTTTCTATAATACCCTTCACCAACTTTGCTGTGCTCGCAAAGCTTAGCACTTCCACCTTCTTCCAATGAACATTTATGGCTGAAGTGGGGATCCTAATCTTCATTACGATCATAAACAAAGGAAGTGGTTTTTCGGAATTCAGTAACACTGAGTAGAATTATAAGGTTTTGAGTATAGGACTTGGAAAAGTGGCACATCCTACCCTCTCAAACCCACCATGGGGTAGTTACATCCCCAGTTCTTTGAGAAAAATGTATTTCCTTATGGATAAAGGTAAAGGTAAAGGTAACCCTGACCATTAGGTCCAGTCGCGGACAACTCTGGCGTTGCACGCTCATCTCGCTCTATAAGCTGAGGGAGCCGGCGTATGTCCACAGACAGCTTTCGGGTCTTGTGGCCAGCATGACTAAGCCGCTTCTGGCAAACCAGAGCAGCACATGGAAATGCCGTTTACCTTCCCGCTGGAGTGATACCTATTTATCTACTTGCACTTGACGTGCTTTTGAACTGCTAGGTGGGCAGGAGCTGGGACCGAACTACGGGAGCTCACTCCGTTGTGGGGATTCAAACTGCCGACCTTTTGATCGGCAAGCCCTAGGCTCTATGGTTTAGACCACAGCACCACCCATGTCCCTTCCTCATGGATACCTTATTCTAAAAAGCAGCTCTTGACCTCATCATAGCTACAGCCTAGGAAAGCAATCCTGTTTTAAGAAAGCAGCAAGTCATGCTCAACCATTCTAGGAGATGCCAGGGATTGAAACTGGAACCTTTTGCATGCACAGAATATGCTCAGCATTGAGTGACACTTGTTCCTTAATTCAAACAACTGATTTGTAAAATATCAAGTACCTTATTAACGGCATATGTTAAAGATTGAACCTTGGAACAAAATACAATAGTTTATGGTAGAATATCCTTTGACAGCTGTGGAAATACAGCAGCAGTTGCACTAGGGTAAATTCACTGTGCACTGACAATTCCTTTTAGAAATGTTTACCTTTTACTTTTGGATGAAAATGTTGCCTTGAAAAGGGATACCACAGAGCTATTGAAGCCACTTGCATGAAAGGAGTGTTTGCCGTTTGCATTCAGGCTGCCATGGCTGAAAAGCAACCCATGTTTCTTTATCTGCTCTATTCATATTATTACAAGCCCTTCTTGGAACCAGGTGGAGATGACATTGTCAGGTCGTGGTGTGAATTTGGAAGAGCATGTTTCAGTCAGTGGGTGGGTTTTATTGTGGCTGATCCCCTACCAATCCCCCACCAGCACTCAAACCTGAGCTAACATGGTTGTCTGACCATGACCATTAGTGTGTGTGGGATGCAAAGAGGGGTTTTGTTGAACAAATTCTTGTAGTACCATGAAACCCGTTCTTAAAGAAATAACCATTCCAGGAATGGATACTAAATCAATGGGTCTTTCCAGTGCTAGATGCTCTAAATCATATTACCACCCACCCACAATATGCACATTAATGTTTTCATTGTGCGTAGATTGGTATATTTGTTTATTAGCATTAATTTAATATATTGATCACAATATATTGATTACAGGGAAAACCTCTATACTCAAGGTATAATGTAGTATACTATAGTACTATTTATTGTATTTGTTTAACTTTTAAATTGTGAACTATCCAGGGGACGTGATTGATGGGTGGTATGGAAATGCCTAAATAAATGAATAAATTCACAATAACAAATGTATGCAAAGAAAATAGAAAAACAAATGCAAGATTTAAACCATTGCATAACATGAGCAAATCAGCAAGCAGCAACAGCAATAAAATAATAAAATAATCCAGATGGTAGGAAAACTTGAAGAAAAACAATAGGAGAATTGAGATCTTCCTTTCCTGACTTCCTTGGGCAAGGCATTCCAAAGTCTGCCACCACAAAAAACCTATGTATAGTTATTTAACCTTTCCCACATGCTCTGAGTAGATTACAGCAATTACATCTAAAAGAAAGATGATTGGTGGATTTTATTGTGGCTGATTAGTGTCACCGAAAGGACCATAATCTAATCAACATAATGAGTGATATTCAGCATTAGTCATACTCATTGTAGATCCATTGAAGTCAATAGACTTAAGTTCATCGGTTTTAATGGATTTACTTTGAGTATGAATGTTGGCTATCTCCTACAGAACATAAAAAACTTGGGGAAACATAAAAGGAGAAAAAAAATTGTGTGAAGAAGTACTGTTTTTGTCCTTAATTTTATTTATTATTACATTTATATCCTCAAAGGAGCTTAAGGTACTATACACAATTTCCCCCTCCCAGTTTTGTCCTTGCAACAACCCTGTTGAAGTACACTGGGGTGAGAGACCATAACTGGCCCAAAGTCTCCCAATAAGCACCATGGCTGTGTAGGGACCCTGTTCGCCAAGGTCCTAATCCAACACTTGAAGTCTAAACCACACTGGTTCTAAATGCAGTCATCTAAATATGGTCAAATCCAGAATGTTTCTGTTTCCCATGGATGCATGAATTTCCATGTACACAGAAAACTGAAGTGTGAGGGAGGCAAACTTTTTAGCCTAGTTGGAGCTGAGTGATGTGTGACTGTTGATTGTAATATCTCAGCTCCAGATCTCTGAGTCTAAAAATTCTTGGGATGTTGTCTTGTTTGCTGCCATTGGTCAGAAAATGACTCCTGTGAGTCACACACACACAGAGTAAAAGTATTTTGAGGCAATCTAATCTCTTTCCTTCCATCACCAGACCACAGATCTAAGGTAGACGGATAAATTCTAGCTCAGGAAAGCACCACTTGTCACAAAGTGAGTCTGAAAGCTGGGCTAGATGCCAGGAACTCAGGGACAGTTTTTGCATTGAGGGCTGCCTCAAGATTTATGCTTGTCTTTTGCTTTCATCTTAATGAGTGCCAAGAAATAAAAATGGAAAACAAAAATGAAGTGAAATATCCTTATAGGGACATTTGAGTTAAAAAAAATCTGTTCACCATCATATATATATATATATATATATATATATATATATATTCTCCTTGGTAAGAATAAACAAATAAGGGATTCCAGCCTTTTCTCAATACTATGTCCCTGTATGCAAGAAAGATAGCTAAGTGGTCTTAATTTGGTGAAACAATTTATTTATATCCTGCCCTTCTGTTAAGGAGTCCAGGAAAATATTTCAGCCTAACAGTAGCCCTATGAAGTAGTAACTTGCCCACGGCCACCCCTTGAGTTTCATGGTTGAGTAAGGATATATGTGCCTACACTGGCTTTCTTTTAAAAGGCTGGATAAATGCTCTCACTCAGGAAAAGTCCAACAAGGGAGCGATCAGCCTCTCTAAAGCATTAAAAATATATGAAACTAAGATATTTTAAAATGGACCAGGGGAGACGTGTGCAAGGTCAGTTCGTCATCACCATTTATCTCAGTCACAGTCAGTATCCAACAGCTGCCTGTGACCACTTGTACAAAACACTTTCCATGTAAAGAAAAACCCATCAGTAAAGGCTATGGTGTCTTGGAGATGAATGCTAGTTTATCAAATGCACAGTGCTTGGAATGCTTGGAAAATGCAACTCTTGCAATGGAAGTGCCATCTTGCAGGAAACATGGGTTACTGGTAGCAAATAAGGAGTAGTAACAAACCTAAATGTGGCTTACCTGTAGCAAATATTTTGCAACAAACAAAAAATACAGCTCCAGTCATAAGGGAAAACATTTAATATTTTAGAGATACCCTGAGCATAAGTATTAACAACAACAATAACAGTAATGTATCAGAATTTATCTGAGGAAACATGTTACAGTATATTCCTTTAAAATGTTTTCATTTTAAAACAGTTAATTCTAAATTCATGCTGTGATGGAATACCCTTAATTCATGTCTAAGAAGAATGCCTGTTCTTTTCAGAGTTCCCATCCAGCGCTTGCCGCTTGCCACTTGAAAGGTCAGACCTCCCAAGTGTTTAGAGTTTAGTTGGCTCCAGTCTATCTTGGGAGATGTTCAAGTCCTTTTCATATACATGCACAGTAGTGGTCCCAAACTTGCACAAATATGTAATGAGTCGCTTCCAAAAAAAATGCGTTGAGCAGGGCCAGCTCCAGGTTTCTGGGGACCCTTGGGAACAGAGTATCATGCCCCTCATTTTACTTCTCAAGCCACAACCCTTCCTCCTGACCCCACATATTTAAACTAAAACAAATGTTACTATTTCCTTCATTGGCTTTTCACCCTCTCTCTGTGATCCTAGACATAGCCTATGTTCTGTATGACCTTATAGGGATTTGCAGGGGTAAAGCAGACATTAGGAATATAGGAATCAGGAACATAGGAAGTTGTCTTATGGACCGTCAGGCATGAGGTCCATCTAGCTCAGTACTGACCACACGGGCTAGCAGCAACTCTCTATGGTTTCAGGTAGCGGTCTTTTCCTGCTCTCCTACCTGAAGATGTTGGGAATTAAACTTGAGATCTTCTGCCTGCAAAGCAGATGCTCTATAACTGAGTTACATATAGAATTGCACTGCCAGAGGTAGAATGTAAACAGAGCATGTCCAATGGCAGAGTATCAGCTTTGCATGGAAAAGGTCACAGGCCAATCCCTGGCTTTTCCAAGTAGAACTGGGAATATTTTGTGTTTCAAACCCTGGAGAGCTCCTGTCAGTCAGTGTAGACAGTGCTGACCTAGATCAGGCATGTCCAACAGGTAGATCGTGATCTACTGGTAGATTGTGGGGTATTCCTGGTAGATCCTGGTAGATCTTGGGGGGGGACGGACAACTGTGGCTTCCTAAAAAAACTCAACAACTTTGGTTCCTCCAACAACAATGGGTAGATCACTGCCAGTTTTTTAATACTGTGAGTAGATCACAGTCTGTTGGAAGTTGGACATCCATGACCTAGATGAATCAAAAGTCTGACTGTGTAAGAAGTACCCATTTGCTACTGTAAAAGGTGTACCCACTGAATACCTATTTAAGCTGTAATTATCACTAACTGTATTATCTGTATCTCATTGCCATTCAACTCCTACTTTAAAATTTTCTCCTTTATATACCCTTTTTTAAAAAGCCAGATCATTATGTCATGCATCTTCTTATCTTCACACATTTTAAAGCAATTTGTTGTGAAAAACCTTATCTTAATTTGAGGTGGGTGGGGGAAAACCAGTATACAAAAGAAGAACGGTACTGAGATTGAACTCTGCTAAAATGCTTTCTAAATACTCCTCAAAAGAGGAGGGGAGTAGATAACCTAAGCAGTGGTTTTGGAAACAGCAAGGTTTTTCTTTCTTCCTACCTGTTCTCTCTCTCGCCTTCTCACTCTTGCACTCTTCACAATATATACATATACACATTTGTCCACAGATTACTATTTCCACCCAGGTCTTCTGGAAGTGTGATACTGAAGAGTAAGGACAGCAGGGATAGGGCTTTAAGCCCTTTTCAGCATCCTTTCCAGCTGTGCAATATCCTTTCAATGATGCAGTGACTAGAACTGTACACAGTATTCCCCCTTTTCAGAGCTGCCTCATACTGGTCAACATCTTCATCAAGTTATCCACTATGACACCAAGGTCTTATTCCTGGTCACTCACTACCACTTCAGACCCCAGTAGCATATACTGTATATGAAGTAAGGATCTTCTACCCCAGTGTGTATCACTTTATACTGAACCAGAATTTGTTTGCTTAATGCTCATTCACCTAGTTTGGAGAGATCCTTTTGGAGCTCCTCACAATCCATCCACCCTGAGCAACCTGGCATCATCACTTGGTCACTTCCCTGCTCACCCTTAAGTCCTGGTCATTTATGAAAAAGTTTAAACACAGGACTAAGGTGTTGCTGTAATTCAGAGTCGACAGCAAAAGGCAGTTTCATATCGAATTCTGCCAAATCCTTCTCATTTGGAACAGATCACTAGCTCAAGAATATGGAAAACACATTGAAATGGAGATATAGAGTTTCTAGTATACTTGCTGGGGGTGGGGATGGAGGATGAAGATTGCATAGTTTCAGAAACACTCTGACAAAAAGCAAACCTTTGCAAGCATGTCAGGAACAGCCAGTCAAGAGACCCTGTTTTAAAGGGAGCAAACCTTCCCCTCACCTCCAGGTCAGCAAAAAGTTTATTGGGAATGAAAAGTGAAGCAACAAAACAAACAAATCACTGCTTTGCTGTTGAGGCTATTTCACTTTAGAGAGACAGGATTATGACCAGAGACTCCTTAAGTTATCAGCCAGTACAAGAGTCAGTGTCAGAAACCCTAGCTGCTACAAGGTTAGAGGCTTAAGGGGCAAAAATTAGATACTGATGTGCCACCCCAGCCCCTTTAAACTGCTTGGCTGCTTTCAAGTGTCCCTTCCTCATTCAACTTCCTTCCAGATTATGGTGATGACTAATCAAAACTTCCAAATTATTTTAACTATCTCCCCCCAAAGTCAGAATCTTTTATATTTATATTTATTTTATTTTTTAAAGATAACAGTGTTGTCTGTCTGCAGTGAGTTTAGAGAGAAAATGTTCCAGGCTTGGAAGCCAAGGAAAGAGAATGTCTCTGGAAGCTAAGTGAATCTTTGCTGGCATAGAACTGAAGCCTGATGCTGAATCTCAAAACTGGAAAAATGCTTTGTGCATTGCATTTTGGGGATGCATCAAAAAGTTATTCAGGATCAGAGCTCAATGACCTAGTCAAAAGATTATGGGTGACTCCAGATGGCAGCTTCCCACACTTCTGGTTGCATAATGTAATGTTATACTCAAAGGAAAGGAAGCAAACATCACATGCAAAAGGTCTGGTGTGGTTGACCGGATTTTGATCCTATCAACACCTGTCATTTTGACTCTATCACTTATGGTGACCCCACTAATTCTTTAGTCTATCATTTCAGATACACAAAACATATAAGGCTCTTGTTATTCTAAAGTTTTGTGGGTTTATTTTATTTTTTACAGCGGACAGCATCCTATATGTACTCCTGCAAGGAATGTGTTTGTAAAACCCACTTGAAATCAAGAGAGCTGACCACCAGTAAGCCACACACTCCATGTGATTATCGCCGCTCTAATCACTAGTTCCCATAAACTTGTAGAACCTAGCATAGCGGAAAGAGCTACTGTTGTACCGAAACACTAATGATATTTTCTCAAGGTGAAGTGCATCCTTAATCATGTTCTTGCTAATGCACTTTCTGTTTCCTCACCTGCGTTGCCAAAAGGGTTTCAGGTGTGCTGAATCAAAGTGCTTGGAATAAAAAAGACAAAGCCCAAATTCATGAATATTCCAAATTTGGAAGTGCAATGAATGAGGATCCGGAATGATAACTTCCTGTGGTCATGTATGTGTGTTTTCTCACAGAAGTGGGAGCACAAGAAACAGTTCCAGAAACTTAACAATGAGGCATGGGAGAACCTTAATCAAACATCACTTCTCCTGACTTCATTCAGCATGTAGCTGCTGGTGACTGGTCTCACTTCTGTCTGTAATACAGACCGGCAAAGGATCTAGAAGGACATGAAAACATTGGCCCAATACAAATAGTGAAAGCTAAATAATTCTTTTCTTTTTTAAAAAAAGATCTGCTCAGAAATGACCTAATATGGTTTCAGAAAACTCTTGCTGATTATTGCAATTTCTTCAGGAATTTTCACCCTTTAGATTTAAAACTGACTTTGTACTAAGCTGGTTGCTAACATTAATGCAAAACCTACATTGACCACTGTGTACATTCAGTTTACCTCTATAATCTTTTCTAAATAAAATGGTATCTGCTTATGGCAAAAAAAAAATTAAAAAATTGAATGTGCACTGTGGTGTTGCTTTTGGAACCCTAACAACAACAGATCTATTTTGAGTGCATATACACCAGTTATGTACTACACAGAATTAGATTTGTAGTCAGGCTCTACCTTCAAGCTCAGTCTAAAGATGCAACATGATACAAAAGGAGGAAGAGATGAGATCAGAAAGCCTGAGATTTTTATTTTATTTTTCCACAAAAGCAATTTTCGGAAAATAAAACAACAGGAGGAACCATGTGGCTGTTGGATGGGGGAGTATTCCAGGGCTGTAGAGCAGCCAACGAAAATAAGTGTCGGTATGGAATGAGAGTAAAGTTTCTGGCATGGAAAGGATAGGCAAAGGGACCAAGGAGGATTTAAATTTAAGGCAAGGGATAAGACAGGTTGAATACTGCAAAAGATTGAAGAGACACTCAGAGGACAGCAGCTGAATGCTGCAAGAAAGGGAGATGTGATGGAATGAAATTGTATTGTGCTTAGGGAAAGGGCATAAATTTGATTCAGTTTGTATTTAAAGGCAAAACCATCTTATTCACACTTTCTGAAACAATGCACAAAGCAACAGTGCATATCCTAGGATAAAGTGTGCAGAAAAATGTACATATTAATGAAAATAACATAGAAAGATGAATTCTATTAGGGAAAATTGGTTTGCAAAAATGTGTATATTTGGCAAAATTGCATAGGAAAAATGTGTAATTAGGACAAATTCTCACTCAAATGCTGATGATTTTTCATGAGGATTTTTAAAGAAAGAAACTGTTGTGGAGATGCGGAGAACTAAACTTAAGCCTGGAAAAATGAGAAACTGAAATTGATAGATTTGCCCATCCCAAATTGTGATATAGTGTTTTATGCTTTTTTAAAAATGTTGTATGTAACTTTGGGTGATGATGGACTGGGGGAACTAATGACTAACAAATGTGATTAAAGAGATTAAAATAAGAGGAGATAAATGGTTGAACAAAACAAAGGAGAAATCAGGGGGAGGCACAGTTTAGTGCAGAAGAGATGGAACATAACACAGGACCAATTCTGCTCTGTATGTCAGGTGAATTAAGCCAAGTCTGATTTCAGAGTACACAATCCTGTTTTCTTTCTGTCAGCAGCTGTGGGCAAGAGCTATGAAATATGAGCCCTTAAACAGGAGATTCAGGATCCCAGATAACATTGAGAATATGATTCCTACAGCAAGCCGTAATTTCATGATACCCCTGTATATCCCAAATGGAATAATCATTCACATTTTATTTTTCAATTTATCTGAGTAATGAGCAGCCAATTTCATCTCATGGAGGCAGGAAAAACAATCTATTTTGGCTTTAATCATGGAAAAGCAAGAAAAATAATTGTGCAGTCATAAATCATAGTAAGAAAGATGGGCAAAATGCTAATTGTTTTATATCGCTTGCCTCCATTCCTATTGTCAGAATAGGCCAAACTGATTAAGCATGTCACCCCTTGTTTAACAGTTGCGTTTGCCCAAGTGGAACCTACCACTGTCGGAAAGAAGGACCTGTGGCAGATTGTGGGGAAGGCAAAAGCCAGAAAGGGGGAAAACACCTCTTTTTCATATTTACCAAATTGTAATGAATTTTCATTTATGGTTTGCAACAATGCCTCTATCGTTTTCATAATAATCAGCGTTAACGGTTTGAAGAAAAGCTATTGAGTTCTAATAAGAACACTAAAGGTACTAATTAGGCACTTGACAGTGTTTTAATAATCTTTCATAATTTATGGGACAGAGAGAGACTCACGAAAGCATTGATTGACTCCCCGGAGTTGTAGGTTTCCCGTGAGTGATTCAATAGACCTGTCCTGCCTACTGCTGGAACAAATAAATCAAGTGTAAACTATTGCATTTTTAAACAGAATTATGTAAATAAGGCTGCTTATGAGAATGAATGGTTAAGCATTAGCTACCATCTTGTTAGAAATAAACCCAACAAATTTCAAAGTGTGAGGTTGGCTTCCTTAGGGGACATTCAGACCACCGCCAAGGAAAGCATAATTCCTTCCCTCTCCCCTTCCATTACAGGCTGTTCAGAAAGCCATGTAACAACCTATCCACTCACTGCTCCTCCATATTAATCCAATGTAAATAAATAAATAAAATAATTATTAGTCCTAAATAGAGGTGCCAGGAATCCAGAACTTCCTCCCTTCAGTTCTATTCTTCACTACCTTGGTTGGCCTCTGGGTGGAGCATGGATGATGGCTTTGCATGGGTTGGTTTCAACCATGTATCTACAAGCTTTTCAGTCCCAGGACCAACTTTTAACCCAAACATGCAATTGGGGATGAATTTCTTAATCTTTTACCATATATTTGCATGGTGGTAGTGCTCCTGTTGCAACCCACCTTGGATCAGACCATAACCCACTAAAAAAAAGGTAAAGGACCCCTGACAGTTAAATCCAGTCATAAACGACTCTGGGGTTGCGGCGCTCATCTCACGTTACTGGCTGAGGTAGCTGATGTTTGTCCACAGTTTTTCCGGGTCATGTGGCCAGCATGACTAAGCCGCTTCTGGCGCAACCAGAACAGCGCACAGAAACGCTGTTTACCTTCCTGCCAGAGCGGTACCTATATATCTACTTGCACTAGTGAGTCCCAACCCACCAGTTTAAGACCAGTGGCTTAGACAGCCTCCTGCCTCTGCTCCTGATTGGGCTGGATGTGGGAATGGGCTTGGGGAGCATTGGGGTGTTTGCCCTCCCAAGCTTCCAAGGGAACTTCCACACTGTTCATGAATTCCACCCTTAGTAGAATGCTCCAGGTGGGGATACTATCCACTGTTTTATAAAAAATCTGTATAGTCCACCTATTATAGTCTGTCTCAAGGCAGTGCACAAGTTAAGATAACATCTGAATGATAACATCAGATGGAGACATCTGAAGGCAGCCCTGTTTAGGGAAGTTTTTAATGTTTAATGCTGTATTGTGTTTTTAATATTCGGTTGGGAGCCACCCAGGGTGGCTGGGGAAACCTACCAGGGACACATTAGGACATTTTCAGCTTGTTGTTATTCCATGGATGGACAGAATTCTCTCTTGTTCCTGGGCATGCTGGCCATGAACCATGGCCAGGAAAACCAGGACCTTCAGTGTGGAAAACTTTCATGTTTGCTCAACTCCCATCCTTCATTGCCTGTTCCTTGTCTTACTCCATCACAAGTATACATTGATCTCAGCCCTAACCTAAATGAAGATGGAAACTATCTTACTCTGAGTGCAGAATGGATGAATGAAGTTGATGCTGTGATGTACAGAAGGAATCCCATAGGCCCCGTTTGATGCACATTGGAGCCTTGGATGTACTTATTTAGAAAGGAAGACACAAAAAAATCATAGCAGAGAAAACAGTGCTGCAATGCTACTGCTTAATTTGCATTACACAATGCTGATAAAAAAAATAAAAATGAGGAGGGGCCAGAATGGGAAGCCTCAAACAGGCAGAAGAGTGATTCAAAGTAGATCAAAAAACCAATAAGTCACCTCCCAACACTGGTGAGTCATTGTCCCAAAGACTTTCTGTTCTGTCAGAGCAGTGGATCAGGGCAGAGAGACTCCTCTGTCTTTTCTTCATGCACAAGGAGTCATCTGGAAGAGCTGTATAGCTGGCAGAGAAGGGACATGAGCACATCTTTCTCCTTGGAAGATCTGGCACACTTCCGCCAATGCTAGGTAAAATTAATTGGCTGAATGCAGACAGCTTGTAGTTGATGCCAACATAAGAGGGAACACCTTTTGCATGATTTAGTGGCTAAATACTCTATGCGCTGCAATCATCAGGATCAATAATGGAAGCATTTAGCTGTGGTAAAGACAAAAAAAAAAGTTGACGTTATAAATGTTTCTTTTTTAACCATCCAGACTACAGTGATATATGAAACATACACAAAATACCAACAATTCAGAGGAATATCAGGCTGGAGACTTCAAAATTTAGTCAAAGACTAGAGCCTATTTGCTTATTCTGAGATTCAATTGCACATGCACAAACATATTTATCTTGTTTCAAGTCCAGAAATTCAGTATGATGATATTCTCTGTTAATTTGGCTGCAACAATATGGACGAGTCTATGTATGCTCTCCAGGCCCACATTCCGTAGACAAGATGCTAGTGCTTCCAGTCACTCATCATGGCGCAAAGTCCTGTCTCCTCCAATGAGCAGTGCCTCTTCCAGTGACTCATCAGAGTATAAAGACACACTGTTAATTTCTCTCCCCTCCCCCGACAAGGTGCAACTGAACAACACAGTTGCAAAGCAATTAAGAAAACAGGAGCATGTACCTTAATAAAGTGCTACTTGAAATAAATTACATAGCAATTGTCCAGTGGGAGAGAGCCTCTCCGAATCTGCTGGTAGCTAAATGTGCTTGAACCAGAGTTTGACACTTTGCCAAATGGTACCCACACACAGACACAAACCATTTTATTTGAACCACCACTGAGCTGCTTTAGGCAACTTCTATGCCGCATAACTGTGACAAGGGAGCCTATTGTGTTAAAAAGTGGCAGTGCATTATCCTGAAAAGGGACATCTGCAGATAATGAAACTGAGACAAGATTAAATTCTAGTGACCCCTCAAAAGGGGAGGAATCCAAAGCTCACATTGCATTTTGAACAACTTGGACAAAGCTGTCTTAATAGTTCAACCCATCTCTTGATTTTAATGAGATTCTGTGTTCATTAGGACAAATATATGCATCTCCCTTCAAGCCTGGCTCATCGCAGGCCTCTGCACATCACTTGGTGCCTAGCAACAGTGAGCAGAGTCTAGTGTTCCCATCCTTTCATTCCAGATAGTTCTTTTAATGCTTCTTTTTACTAGTATTTGAAGCAAAAACAGCTGGAGAATTGCAAACCTCTGTATAAAATGCTGCCTGATTTTTTTCATACCTTGGGAGAAGTCCATTCCGTACGAAGCTCTTTAATCACAATTTGTTAATATTCTAATACTATGGTTTCAAAACTTTGAATTCTCCTTAGGAATTTTTTTACATGTGCTTGATGACCTTTCTGCTCTATAACTCAACTTGCACAGAAGTTGTAGACTATTTTCAAGATAGAAGGAAGCATAACAAAAATTAAAGGCCCTTTACTTTCCAAATTGAACTGTACGATACTATCAAAGAATGTGTCTTGACTATCAGGGAGCTTGTGAACAGAATGTGCTTCTTTAAATTCTAGTCTTGTACAGTATTATTCCTGGTTAAATATGTCACTGAGTTTCTAGTTTCTTGGCTTGAAAATTTTACCTTGACAGCTTCTAATGCTATCATCAAACGCAAGACAAGCACTGTGGTCTGGAAGTTCTCCAGCTGAGAATAGTTCCTACACATGTGCAGAGAATGCTTTTAACCTCCTCCACCCAAGTCTTGGACATTAGTTAATGCTCACACCATACCTTCCAACTGCCCCGACAATACCGGAATCATCACGAAAACCCTTAAGCTATCATGGCTTCTCACTTTTTCACACCCTTAAGCTATCATGGCTTCTCACTTTTTCACACAGAGTCCCTAATTCCCAAGGGGCCTTCCCTTCAGTACAGCGTTTCAACGTGTTACTGGAAGTTCAGATTCATGCATCCCTCTAATACGTTGCTTAGATCTATGCCTTCCTTTTCGCTTCCCCACTTAAAACGGTGTTACTTCCTGTTTTTATGAAAACAAGATCTGAGTTGCTTGAATGCCCCTAAGAAAGTTTTTCACTGTTTCCCCACTCCCCAGTCAGTCAGTCTCTCATAATGAAAGCGGTGAGTGGGGGAAGGTAGAATATGTCCCTATTTTCATTTCAGGAATGTTGTAGGGTATGTCACACTGCTAAGCAACACTATCAGATTGCTTCTCTTGTTAGTGATGCTGGATGTTGAATGATTCTGCATTTGCTATGCACTCTCACTATCAATACGAAATGATTTATTTTGGGAAGGGTAGGCAAGCAGAGTAGGGATTTTATGTTGTAGCAGCATCCTGGCCTAGATGTGGGGAACCTTTAGCCTTCCAGATGCTGCTGAACTACAATTCCTGTCAGCCCTAACAAGCATGGGAAATGACCAGGGAGGATAGGACTTAGGGTGCAGCAAGATGGCAGTTGGCAAAGTAAGTGGAAAGACCCATATGAACCCTCTGAAAAAAGGCTGGCAGGGATGGGAGGATTAGAGGCCAGATATGTTTTTCTCTGTCCTTACCCTCTTTCCCCTGCTGTTTGTTTGGTTCTACCAGCTGTCCTGGTCTTGCACTCATCAGAGGGCATGTGGCTTTTTTTTTTTTTAAGCAAGTATCATTAGATCCCCCCCGGGAGTGGAGACAGTCTGCATTTAGCATATTCCCTTTCTTCCCATCTGAACATTATATACAGAGCTCAAAGCCAGAGCTAAGTCTGCCATCTTCATGTATGTTTGTGTCTACTTTATTGCTGTGTTTATCCATCTTATGCTCATAGCCATAGCAGCCTGACCTGAGATGACACATGAAAGCATTAAGTGTGCATTCATTACCCTAAATGGGCAGATGAGATACTCTTCTTTCCCCTTATTCCCCTGTGCTCCCCCCTTCTTCATGCCTATCAAGCACTCTTGGCACTTACTCTGTAAAATTAAAATGCATATTGAAAGCAAATGCCAAGAAAACCTGCAATATTAGTGCAGATGTCCTGGATATTACTGGAATTACTTATTTAGTTAAATAATTTACTTAAAGTGGGAAATGGCTGTGATTTTCTCTATGTAAGACTTCTTGGCCAAATCCAAGGTGTTACTATTGGTATATAAAGCCCTTAACAACTTGGGACCATCTTGCCTATGAAATTGCCTTACCCCACATGTGCTCACTTGACTGCTTTGATCAGCAGTATGGTAGTATTGGCACTACTACCATGCTAGGTGATACCTGTTCTGCATTTGTAAGAACTCGATCATTTAGAGTGGCAGCACCTACACTTTGGAACTCCCTGCTTAGTGAGATCAAGCAAGCTCCTTCACTGTACTATTTCTGGCACCTGCTAAAAACATTATTGTTTGGACAAGCCTACCCAGATGCTGAGAAAGTTGGGGTAGTTTTAATCTGTTGTAGTATTTTATCTCTTGCATATTTTAAAGTATGGTTGTGATTTTTTTCTTGATTTTAATGTTTTAACTTTTGTAAGCTGCTTTGAGGGGGTTTTTTTACAATCATTTTTTAAAAAATAAATAAATAATAATAATAATAATAATAAAGACTTCCCAGTTCCCTAGCATGCCTAGATGGATAGAACATCGTGCCCCTGCTTTGCATATTAAGGCTGCTGGTTAGCCATTCAGCCCTGCGGAAAAGGAAGAAGCAGATTGGATGGAAGGAACCCCACCTCTGTTCTTTCTCCCAAGTCTTCTGTTCCTCAATGCTAACTGAGAAGAAAGAAGCGGAGGAGGAGGAAGATGGGAGCAAGCACTCAGATTTAATTGGGCAGAGGCCAAAGATCTACTGTTGAAATGGTACAACCAAAATAACAGTTCCGTATCAAAACAGCAGTAACCTGCTTGCACAGAGATGCCCACTCTCAAACCACTTTTAGCCCACATTTGGGGGTGTTGTCAGGAGCAGGCATCGTTGGGTACTTGCCAAGGCCTACACTCCTGTAGGGTGGGGGGAGCAGTGTTAAGCCTCTTGGCCTCCTTCTCCTCCTGCTTGTTGCTGGCTGTTCACCTACCCTTTCAGAGCATGCAAGCAGTGACAAAGTGAGAAGATGGAGCAGTTTATTCCACTCGCTTTGCTATCTCCCCTCTGTGACCATTTTTTGGTGGGGGAGGCGCTTGGCTCAGCAGCTAAAATAAAAGAAACCCTCTTAACTTGTAAAGCTGGCAACATGGATCTGCACAACCAGCATTGTGCTAATGTTTAGGTTTTGTTTGCTTTTGTTTTAAATTCATGGAAAAATTTGCAACATCAGAGCCGATTCAACGTGTGCATGTGAGTGATCACGATCCAGCATTCAAATTTATTATATTTGTTTGACAGGAGATCAGTCATGCATGCAAATTATGCATCAAAGTCATGAATGCAACCAAAAACTCGGTTTTCAAAAGTTGAACGTTTTCAGAATTGTAAAATTCTCTCTGCCTAGGACAGCACTTGGTCTAGGGCCAGTCTTCCATATCCTACTCTTTCTCCTTTACTATTCGATATTTAGTGTTCTCAGTCAATTTGTGTCTCGGCATTCATTGATCTAGAAAGCTTGTTAATTTCATTATTATTGTTTTATGTTATCACAGTCAATGTGCGTGCTCTTCTGTGCTTACAGAAGCTTAAAAACCTACTACGTAATTGCTGCTATCATTTTTTGAGGCACACAGCTTCCTCTGGAAATACATCAGCATAGGCCCTTACTCAGTTACTGAGCCATCCTGATTTCAAAGCTTTTATAGGAGCCAGGAAATATTGCATGACCAGCTGTGCCCTATTGTTGTTAACAGGGGTCTTTGTTTCTCTATGTGGTCTTACTGTCATAGCTCAGTGGCAGAGCACATGCTTTGCACGCAAAAGGTCCCAGGTTCAATCTCAGGCATCAGTAGTCACGGGCTGGGAAAGATCACTGACTGAAACCCTGGGAAGCCACTGCCAGTCAGTGTAGACAGTACTAAGCTAGATGGACCTATGGTCTGACTTGATATTAGACACATTCCTATATTTCTAGGCTGAATTGATGCCTGGTACCCAAGGTTCAGGACCCACTGTGGATACTTGTCCTGACAGTGAGGGACAGCCGTGGAAAGAAATACAATTTACAAGTAGTATCATTGTGTCAGTATGAGGTAGCTTAAAAACCAGAATCCTGGGTCCATAGACAAGAATTCATATACGTACTGCAAGGCATGGCTTGCAGAAGACAGTATTCTCTGAAGAAGCTTCTCAGCTAACTCTACCTCTGAGTGCTCTGATTGGTTCCTATAAATGGTTTGTAGTCAGCTTTACCTTAGCAACATAGCACTGCCAGAGTAAGCAAGGCTGGAAGCTTCTTATCCACACACTGGGGGCTTCGGTGGTTGCAGAATCTAGAGGAGAAATAATATTCTCCCTTTGATCAAACATAGGTCATTGGTGCTCCATGACCTAATCTGACCTGGTATATACATATTTGTACCTAGATCTTCACCTTGTCTTGCTTCTCTGGTTCTCCTTTTGCTGTATTGATGCCAGCCTGTGTTTGTTTGCCAGCTCTCGATCTGTGTGCCACTCACTTCCCTGTATCCCATGTTACAGATAAAACTGGTAAAAGATGTCTTAGACCCAGAGGTACCATGAGCCTCTAATGACAAAGGTTTATCAAGCAGTACCCCAAGTTATGTGCCTGCTCCTTTAAAGGGAGTGTGACCATGCCCAGAACAAGCAATTGTCTATCTTCTGGATATGGGAGCCTCTTGTCCACCGAGCCTCTATCTTTCCACATTCAAGCTCCGCTTATCCAGGCTCTGGTCCAGGGCTTGCACAGCCACTCCTGATTCAAATGTTATGGAGAAACAGAGATGTGTATCACCAGCAAATTGATAACACTATTCTCTGAAACACCCAGTGACTCTTCTCAATGGCTTCATGCAGATGTTAAGTAAAACTGGGGACAAAATGTGCCCCATGGAACTCCATGGCACAAGTGCTAGGGGGCTAAAGAGCACTCCCCCAGTGCTGCTGTCTGGACTTGCCTGCACAAGTAGTGCCCACTGTAATAAAGTGCCTTCAGTGCCCATCCTGAACAGTCACTCCAGGTGGGTATCATGGTAAGTGGTATCAAAAGCCATTGAGACATTGAGTAAGAGAAATAGACTTGCTCTGTTCCACACTGTCCAATAGAGACAGAGCAGAGAGCAGGCCCTGCCCACACAGCACCTGAGGCGAGCCACAAAATGGTGTCCTCCTGCCAGGTCTCCTATCCACCAAGAGGCAGATGCCAAGGAGGGGGATCCCAAGGAGGCAGCAGATCCGGTCTCCAAGGAGCTCACCACAGCTGTTGCTTCCGCTGTGGCAGGGGCAGCAGCAGCGGGGCGAAGCATTCCTTGGAGGCTGGATCTGCTGCCCCTGTGGACTTTGCCACCCAAGGCAATCACCTTACCTTGCTTCATGGGTGGGCCAGCCCTGCTAGAGTCTCCAATGCCAATTTCAGGACTTGGGCAGGTTCATATAGTGGTCCTTACGATATCCATCCATGCTTCATGTTCCCAGCTTCCCTTGGAGGGGACTGTACACCCCATGTTGAACTCTGGTGACAGGTGGTTTGCCCCTTTGAGCTGTTAACCCATTCAACCGATTCCTGGACCTTGCCAATCCGTTACAGTCTTGATCCCGACAATTCCTACAACTCATTACTCTCACACACCTTGCTCACAAAGTGCTGAAGAAACAGGAAAAAAGTTGGCATATACAGAAACTGCATACTCACAGCACATAAGAGAGCTTGTTATGACACCACTGAAACTCTGTGAATCTGGGTTGCCAAGGGAAACAAAACGCTAACTTTTTTTGTCTGTGGGGTGGTGGTGATGGTGAGCACTAATTAAGTTGCACTGGCAGCCAGAGAGGCACACATAGCAAAGCAGTGCCTGGCAGATCTAGCAGGTCTCCCGTGCTCACCAGATTTTGTGTAACCCCCTTTTTATTTCAGCAGACGAATGTCAGACCGAAAGAGCAGGTCACTAGGGAGAACCGATCTGAGGAATGAGTCACTGCTAAAGGACTGGATGAAGTTGTGAAGATTTTCCACTCTTGTGCTATTTTATATCTGTTATTATGTTGCTGGAGGTGGGGAAATGAAGCCTTTTCTGTGTAATGAGACTGTTAACTTGTGAGCAGTGATTCCACCAAGGTGACTGCACACAGCAAGATGAAACTCTTAATGAATGAGCAGTGGCAAAACAGTTAAGGAAGCACCCTTTTCTTGGTTGATAAATAATTGCTCTATGTTTGTCCGCATGCACTTTCAGAGGGAGGAGCAGGTCTCCCCTAAGTTGTGTTTTTGTAAAATACGTATTACAAACGAGTAAAACAAATCATGGACTCAACTGCCACCCTCATAATTACCTGCACAGCATCAGTCTCCAGAATTTCCACTTTCTTGAGGGCAGTATCCAACAAAGTAGTTCCATTATCACAAGGACTTTTGGCTATGCAACAGAACTTCTCCTCTCTACTTCCTGGTGAGCCTCCTATATTTGTTCTGGAGCAGATTTGGGGACAGCACAGGACAGGGAGTAGAAGTGCCATTGTGCAAGTGGACATCCTTGCACTAACAGATATACTTCATTGGATACCTCCATAAATGAATAAGATAAAATAACATTGGGCCAATCAGAATATCTTTTGCTTGCAACCTAGCATGATGGGTCAACACTGTAGCCTTTCTTACTGTTAAGAGTCCTGAAGAAGGATCCTTTCCATTGCCTCTCCTATGGAATGTCCTGACTAGGCAAGCTTCTGCCAATGGAGCTCAAGGACACAAGTTCAAATGCAATGCTCTAAGCAAGGGTGGTCAGTGTGGTGCCCTCCAGATGCTGTTGGATCTCAGCTCCCATCACCCTTGATCCTAAATGAGGCCAGTGCAGAGAAAAGCAAAAGGCCATTTGGATGAAAAGTCCATAATTATGCAACCCATAATTGCAACTATATAAAAAAAATAAAAAAAAATTGACCAGTAGTTCCTTAGAGACCAACTACGTTTGTTCTGGGTATAAGCTTTCATGAACATGCACACTTCTTCAGTTACATGCACACAAAAGCTTATACCCAGAACAAACTTAGTTGGTCTCTAAGGTGCTACTGGACAATTTTTAAATTTATTTTGACTGCATCAGACCAACACGTCTACCTACCTGAATCTGCAACTATATAGATGCCTAAGTCCACGGACAATAACCCTGTAACTGAAGGCAGAGACATGATTCTAAATATAGTGCCTTGGAATGCCCTGACTTTTGTCTCCTGTTTAGGCAAAACAGATTGTCTCCCCATCCTACTACGTCTGTCTGACGTTGTATCCTGTGCATACTTGCCTAGGAGTAAACTCCACTGAACACAGTGAGACTTAGATCCAAGTAAACAAGCATAGGATTGCTCTATTAAACTCATTAATATTTTCAGGGGTGTCAAAAGCAGCAAGAGCATTAATTATAGCAGAACCACAGATGCATTGTTGGTCAGTGACGGGAACTATGTGAATGCCACTGTATTTGGAAGATGAGCCACATTAAAGGACGGTGGTGTTTAGTGCTCAGTGAAACAGCGTCATGGCAGAGCCAGTAGCTGCAGTCGCAAATCAGCGTTGCCTCATGAGACTCATAAGGCGTTTGTGTATTCAGCCTGAAAAGCCTTACATAGAAAAATGTTGCAATCTGGTTTCCTGTGCATGTAAAATCTGTTCTGAATTACATCCATCTGTGAGAGAAAGATGGAGGCTGAACAGGCTTCCAATTTGTTCTAATTGGCTGTGTTCCGTTTTAGAGGTATGCTGAAATCCCCATTCTCCTCCCCAGGCTTTAATTTTGTATGGCAAGACAGGTAGGCAGCCAGCCGGGTTAAAACACATTAAAAAGAAAAGGCCTAAATGAAACATTGCATTCATTAATTTGATAATAGTTCCTGCACTCCCTTTGCTTTGGGTGTCTGTTTATTTATTATTTATGCACATAGCACCATCACTGTAGATGCTGCTTTGCAAAACAGTGTAAGGGGGGGGGGGATAGAGACAAGGCTCTGCCCTGTAGTTTGCAGTGTAAGTCTTGACAATAAGGGTAAAGGGAGAGCAAGTAGTCAGAAGCTCGCTCTTTCCTTTATGTTACGCAGAGAGGCTCTGTTCTCATATTGGTGTATATGAGGTTGTTCATTTGTTATTTGTATCAAATTTCTGTCAGACCTTGCAGTTATTAAGTTGCACAGATAACCTATATTAACAACAGTAAGCTAAACTATTCAGGACTTGTTAGCTGCATTTTTGTGGTGTTTATTTTTATGTGAAATTTGCCATTTTGAGGGTGCAGAAGGGTTCAAGAAACATCTACTTTGCATTCTTGTGTATATATTTTGGAACCTGTTCCCCACATCTTCTGCTGTGCTGTTCTTTAAATTTCAAAGCACTTTCTTCACTAGATGTTCCTAACCAGTCAGGGATCGTGAAGTGAATATGATGGCTTAACGGAACTATGTAGCCAACCAGATTTGGCTTGGCATCACTGGGGCAGAGGCAGTCCTCAGATCAGAGAAGAAAGAGCAAGAACAAGGCTTAGAAATAACTACATCAAGCAGATTAAAGAGGATACAGATTTATGCTGGCCTAAAAAAAATATTACAGGAGACAGAGAAGAGTAGGGAGTTGTTGGAGACCAATCTATAGACTGAATCACGAGAGAGAGCAAGACAGAGAAAGAGTGAGTACTTGCCTTATGATAGAGATTCACATGCACTTGGACTATGAAAAAGGACAACTGGGAAAAGGAAAAAGGACTGATAACCAGGCTTGATTACGAAGATATCTTGAGGTGAGATGGCAAGCGAAGAGCATGACTCTTGCAATGGGCAGCCTCCCCTAAG